ACCACTAAGAAGAATATATGCAGTGTATTATTTGTTGAAACTGTACTTCCGATTTGATTTGAAACTGTCTCATTGCTATATGTTTATCAATAAAACTGTAGAAAAAAAAAAGAAAAAATAGACATCCTTTTATTCAGTAGTAATAACACCCACAACACAGAGCCTTAGATCACTACTTGCTTAATTTTTATGGAATGCTAACTCCCGCACATATAGTCTACAAAGCACTACATTGCCATTACCTTGTATGATTACCTTCTCTTTTCCCCTGGGAGGCACCTACTGTCTTACTAGGTCTGAAAATATTTGTACAATCTATAAGCTGAGTTACTTCAGGAAAAAAAATAAACTCTTATAAAGAATCTACTTCATGGGGCTGGTGAGATGGCTCAGTGGTCTAAAGCACCTACTTAGAACAAGCTTGGCAAAGCACAGGGACCACGGTTCAATCCCCCAGCACCACATGCCAGTCGGCCCTGCTCCCTGGTGGGCTGAGCTGGCCACACACACACACACACACACACACACACAAATAAATAAATAAATAAAATTTTTTTTAAAAAGAATCTACTTCATAAGTCTTCAAAGAAGTGGATTTAAAAGCAAATGCACTCTCCTTATGCTTGAATAGCATATAGGCATTTAGAAACTCAAGTTTTAAGAGGATGCGTGGTCCCAGTGCAATGTACTAAAGTCCTCTAAGTTTCTCTTTCCTGATCTCTGAAATGAAGATAAAAGCCTCACGTGCTGAATTTTTTGGAGAGACAAATGAGATAACATGTAGGAGTGGATGCTGCAGAACACATAATAATGTTTAAGTGCTACTTATAAATAAGACTTACAGAATGAAACTGGGATACGTAGTGCTAAATTTGCTTGTTCTATGTTCTGTGTCTTTAATTCTGAGGTACCTCAAGTCCATTGTAGAGACAATTTTGATTTATAAGCATTTTGTGAAGCTGACTGCAGAGCAGCCTGTGGCCAAGCAGGAGCTTGTGGACTTCTGGATGGATTTCCTTGTTGAGGCGACAAAAACAGATGTTACCGTAGTCAGATTTCCTGTGAGTACCCTCTGTATAAATCTAAGTTCATTTCCGTGTTGTCACTTGTCCTTAAACAATATCTTGTATTTTTAATCTAACAGGACTATCGTATTCATTCTCCCTCCCCTGAGAATGCAGTTACCGGGTCCATAGATTTATTTTTTACTAATTTGCTTTGCTTGAGTTTTCTATTTTATTTTATTTTATTTTTT